CTTCATGAACGCAAAGTTGCAGCACCTCTATGAATAGCTACAAAAAGCGCTGGAGAACACATTTCGCTTCTGGCAGCCCCAACTGCCCACCTGGATGAGGCGCTCTGTGCAGGACCCAGTGGCCTGAGTCTCACGGGGACTGTGGGCAGGTGAGAAGCAAAGTGAACCTTGTGAGGGCCCTGACTCCATGTCCCAGCCATGCTAAGCGGGTCCCAGTGCTGAGGTGAGGAGACAACCTAGTTATGAGAGCGGGTGAAGGGTGTGTGCGATTCTGTTTTAAGAAGGGTGGTGAGGCCCTGGAGCTTTAAAATATGTCTTTCATTTGCATACTTCACTAAATTATCAGGTGATGCTGAACAAGCTCCTGAACTTCTCCGGGCTCGTCTCACCCAGGGAAGATGAGAAGAATAAGCATGGAAGAAGAACTTATTCTTCTGTTTAGGATTTGAAAAGACCTCAAGAATTATGTAATTCAAATTTTTTTGTTTCACCTGAGGAAACGGGAGCCCAGAAACATCAAGTGCCTGGCTGCAAGGCAAGGGCTGGCAGAGTAGAAACCAGGCAACCTGGTGTTTGAAGCACTGACCTTTTCAGAAACTTCTACTTTTGAAACACATGCTTCAGTTTTCATACTGTCAACCAAATGCAAGCGCTTTTGAAAAGTTGGAATAAAAGCTCTGAGTGGTTTCTCTCTGTGCCGCCCCCTTGTAGTTTTGGCCAGCTGCCATCTTGGCTCCTGTGGTACAAAGTGTTCTGGGAAACAGCAGCCTTCTAAATGGGAAGGTTCAAAGTCGGTCGTTGGGTTTTCTGGATGAGTCGTCAGGACTAATCACACAGCACAGAGGAGCACATGTCTTACCCTCTCTTGAGCCCGGTCTCTTTTGCCAAGACCTTTTCAGAAATTTGCTGACTTTTCCTCCACCAAATTTATGGCCTTGTAGGCCACAAAGGCAGGCGTGGCCCGGTGTGGAAAGACCGAGAAGCTTTGCAGTGAGGTAGGCCCGGGTTGAGGTCTAATTCTTTCAACATTGATTCAGCAAATATTTATTTAGAGCCTCTTATGTGCCAAACCCCATGTTGTATGACCTTGGGTGGGTCACTTAACCTCCTTAAGCCTCAGTTTCCTCTTCTGTTAAAGTTAAAAAAAAAAAATAGGGGGCCAGGGAGATAGCTCAGTAGAATAAGTACTTGCCTGGCAAGCACAAGGTCCTGAATTCATTCCCTGGTTCCACCAATAAATAAATAAATAAATAAAGTTAAAAAAAAAATCCTTCCTTTTAACATTGTTCCAAGGAGTAGAGATACAACCTAAACAAGAGTAGAATCTGTAAATAGTGACTGCTAATATTTGTGCTGGAATATGACTTAGGGCTACCCAGGAGGTAGACAATGAATTATCATGAAGCTGACAAATGGAAAGCCAGCACAAAGTCGGGGAGACAGACAATGTCAGAGATGTCAGAAAGAGGAGGAAAAGGGGGCTGGGGAGATGGCTCAGTGGAATAAGCGCTTCCCTGGCAAGCGAAAGGGCCTGAGTTCAATCCCTGGTTCCACCAAAAAAGAGAGGAAAAAAAAAAATGCCTGAGCAAGTATCTATCATTTTGGGGGACGCCTGCATGTAACTGAAAAAAAAAAAAATACAGTACTCTCTTAAAATCCTCAAGTAACAGGGGCTGGTGAAATGGCTCAGTGGTCTAAAGCACCTGCTTAGAACAAGCTTAGCAAAGCACAGGGACCCCGGTTCAATCCCCCAGCACCACATGCCAGCCAGCCGCGCCCCCCTGGTGGGCTGAGCTGGCCACACACAAAGAAA